GCTGGACCCACAACAGGGACGTCACTCGTGTACTGCAGCGTGGGGCTTTCCCCTCCTGCTGCTCTGTCATACTTGTGTCATGTAGGAATCAATTTTGGTGACACAAAATATGGTCCTAAACAACTATGACTATTTCAATACATGCAATACCTGAGTCTTTAACATGTAATCTGGCTGGCGTTTTATGTCTTCCCTCTTTTCGTTTTTCAAGCTGCTTCTCCAGCAGCTTAGCAAGCCGCGTGGTGAAGATATTTGTGAGAACCAAAACCTGGCGACAGATGGGATGTCATTTTAAATTGCCCCAAATCGCCATGGATCACTGTAAGCAGCAAAATCACTAGCTGGTTCTCTCAGAAAAATCTCAGCTCTCTTCATATTGGAACTTGGCAACCGTTGTGCAATATCCTCCCAGACATGAGCCAACTGGATGGCAAGCACTTTCGGGGGACGTTCAGATAACAATATCCCCCAATGGAAGACATCAAATGACTCATTCTTATAATGCCACCAATTAAGTCACAGGAAGGCACAAACATTTTCTGATTTTGGTTTGCTCCCTTAGACTGTGGGATCATAATCTACAGACCATCTCCCTGAACATGAAAAAAAGTTTCTGCACCTACCCCTGGTATCTATCCATGTAAGTGAGCGTAAGCAGCAGGTGAGAAGGTGGGGACAAGGATCAGAGGAGTCACTTTTCCTACACTCCAGGCAGCTCCTGCGCCGCTTCTTTCTCTGAACTCTCAAGGAGCATATGGTTCGTATCACTCATTCCAGCACTGAACACACTCTGCCATATTTCGTTGTTTCCCGATTCAATCCTTAAATCTTTTTGAGGATAAGGCTGTTTTATTTGTCTTCCTCTTGTCCCATGCACCACCAGTGTCCTCTGTTTTCTATACATGGCTGCAATCACGATGGCTTCGCTTTGCAGGACTGAGCTCAGAGATGTGTTTTGTGCTTGAGGATGGGGGATACCCAGAGCCTGCCAGGCCTGAAATATTGCCTGTGAGAAACCCCACGACCAAAATACCCCATGTTCTCACTCCTATGTGACAGCTAAGAAAGTTGACTGCATAGAAGTAGAGGGTAGAATGGTGGTGGACAGAGGCTGGGAGGGATGGGGGATCGGGGGACAGAAGAGGTGGGTTAACGGATACAAAATAACAGCTAGATGGAAGGAACAACTTAGTGTTCTGTAGCACTGGAGGTGACTATAATGAACAACAATTTATGGTATACTTTCAATTACCTAGAAGAAAGGATTTTGAATATACCCAACCAAAAGAAATGATAAATGTTTCAGGTATTGAAAAACAAAAGACCAGTGGCTGCCAGGGTTTTAGGGGTGGAGGGAGGGAGAGAGGGATGAATAGCAGAGCCCAGAGGGTGTTTAGGGCAGTGAAACTACTCTATATGACACTGTGATGGTGAATACACGACATGACGCATTTGGCAAAACCCATGGAACTGTACACCACAAAGAAGGAATCCTGATGTAAACTTTGGTGAAACTACTCTATATGACACTGTGATGGTGAATACACGACAGGACGCATTTGGCAAAACCCATGGAACTGTACACCACAAAGAAGGAATCCTGATGTAAACTTTAGTTACTAATAACGTAACTAAATAATCAGTAGTGGTTCACAGATGTAAGAAGGCACCACACTTATGTAAGATGTTAATAACAGAAGAAACTGTGTGTGTGTGAAGGGACGGGATGGAAACTGTACTCTCTGCTCAATTTTTCTGAAAACCTAAAACTGCGATAAAAATAAAGTCTACTACTTATTTTAAACATCGCAGTGCCAGAGATTCATTCTTCTGGTGTTTGGTGCTGTGTTTCATTTACATACAGTCTTACTGTGGCTGCACAGGTGGAGACCATTAGTAAAGGACTTGTACTATCAAGGGCACAGTGACAGTCACCAGGATGGTTCCTGGAAGAAGCCCAGTATCACGAGGAGACACTAATGCAAAGGTCTCAATGGCAGAGATTGTGTTTTATTCCTTTCTGCATCTGCAGTGTCTTCAGTCATTAATGACTGTGCGCCCTGTGAGTGGGACTTGGCTTCCAGGCCTGGGGACACTGGAGTCCAGACTCACACAAGCCTGTGCTCTTTGGAGCAAAGGCACAAGGCAGAAACCTGTTCAACGGGAGCTTTCTGTAGCATGAAAACACTCAGCGTTGCCCCTCTATTCCCTTCCAGGTAACAAGTGGCAGGCCACCTCAGGACACATTTTTCTTATTTAGAGGTGAGAAGTAAAACACTACAGAGCACTACAACACAGGGCTTTTCCTCCTCTTGTCATTAGTTCTGCTTTCAGAAAACGCTCATAACAAACAACCGGTGAAGACATTCGTTTTGTGACCAAATGTTGGCTCCAAACCTTTCACAGGGAACTTTCGAGCAAGACTTTCAAGAATAACTCCTCTTCCTTCCACAGTCCTGTTCACGTCAATCCACCAGAGAGGCCTGAACTTCACTTCCCATGTCAGCCACAGCCTTGATCGGCTGGCTGGGCCCCACGCAGCTGGCCCTTGGCAGTGGGGACTGGAGTGGCCCATTAAGTGATCCATAGAGGTCACATGGCCACAGGGGTGGCCGCCACCTCACCTACAATCTCTCCTCCTTGCCGTCATCCTCTGAGCCTCACTTTCTTATTCCTCACATGATAAGGGCACAAGTAAATACAAAATTAGAAGTGGTGAGAGGCCAGGAAGGAAAAGCACAGAGTGTTGTGAGCATCACCATTCCAAGGGGATTCTGCCAGAAACCATCATCTTACTTGTTTTCCAAAGAATTTTTTGAAAGCAAAATTAAAATTCAAAATTTGAAATTGGAAAAAGGAAATTGGAAAAGGTTTTTCTCCTTTCATCTTAAATACTCTAGATCTATCAGGAGGACACTTTCAATGCTAGATCTTGTTCTGACACCGTAGAGCCTTGGGTTTGAGTCTGATGTTTCCTTGGAGCTCAAAAAGCATGTCCTGTCTCCCTATCAGCAGGTACTCAAGTGCTTGACCTTGAGCCAAGGCTGGGGGAGGAGACCGTACATACTAAAACTCACTCACTAGCGAGACCAGCCAACCAAAGCCCATCAGAACACTTCCCAGGCCCCACCTGTGGGGCAAATCCCAGATCTCCTTCACACTGGATAGAAATGATTCCTGTGATTATGTGCTTACATAGGTTAAATTTGTTCTCAAGATTGACACCTGGGCAACACCTTTGAAAGGTGGAAAAGGGAGACAACCCTCACTTGTGTCTTCTTTCAAATCATGGCTCTTAGAGAGCCTGCATTGCTAATTAATGGCAAGATATCCCAGTACCACATTAAATAGTCTCTGCCTTCTATGTTTTCAGTATTGGTTATTTCATTGTGAGAAAATGAAATCTTCACTTTCCCTAATTCCATAAATACCATATGAACCATATTAAATAGTCATTTTTGCAAGCCAAAAATTCTTGAATACTGGTAATTTTATATGGTTCAATCTAATATATTTGTATATACTTTAGCATAATAAACACATGTTCCTCACCACATTAGCATGTGGAAAAGTATAAGACATTCTATCTTATAAGCATGACAAAAGAGAAATTTTGCAAACAATTGAATTTATGTAGTCTGTAAGAGATTATCCAGAACATTAATCCTATTAATCCTACACTTAATAGGAGTCAGATTTCATTTTGGCACCAGGTTGTGAAAAATGGAAGACTTGGTATACATGCCGCATAATAATAGTTACTTTAAAGAGCCAGGACTGCTCTGCTCACACTTAAGTAATGGTTAGCTTCATGTTTTATTTCAGGTTCTTATGTTCTAGAAATCAATTTGTCAGAGCCTATATATTTCTAGGTAACAGCTAACACCAAGGATATAGAGAAATTAGCACTGCACTGAAATGTCACATATTACCTTAACTGAAAACCATTTATTGACATCCTGTTGTATATGAATGTGGCACTACATGAAGAGTCAACTATTTCTCATTTCCTGAAAGAAATTAGCTTTCATTGCTGTAACATGAAGGTGACGAAAGGAAATAAACAATTCTAGTGTTTATCTTGAGCAGCTGCTAGATGGGACTCATGACTTATTTAGTCAGTAAAACAATTATATAAAGTAGGCTGTATTATCCTCATTTTATGGATGGGGAAACTGAGGCTTCGAGAGGCAAAATAACTACACAATTGACATTGAGGGTTAGGAGGGGAGCCAGGCCCCCCTTCCAGCCTTACTGACTCCGGAGTGCCAGTCATGGGGCCATCCAGAGGGTCAGAGCTTTTCCTTTCCTTTCTCTCTTTCTCTCTCTCTCTCTCTCTCTCTCTCTCTCTCTCTCTCTCTCTTCTCTGTTTTGGAAAAATGGCTGTTGAGGATGTGCTTTCAAAGATACACTGGCTCTGGGACGGCCGGTGGCCGGTAGAGTGTGGCGCTTGGGAGCGCGGCGGCACTCCCGCCGAGAGTTCGGATCTCATATAGAGACCGGTCCGCTCACTGGTTGAGCACGGTGCGGGCACGACACCGAGGGTTGTGATCCCATTGCCAGTCACAAAAAAAGACAAAAAGGAAAAAAAAAAGATACACTGGCTCAAGTTCAGTAACCTGCGCACCTGGTGATAAACCAAAAGCCTAGGGAAGCTATAAAGTCACAAAAAAAGACAAAAAGGAAAAAAAAAAGATATACTGGCTCAAGTTCAGTAACCTGCGCACCTGGTGATAAACCAAAAGCCTAGGGAAGCTATAAGAGGACCAAACGCATGTGTGACAGCTGCAAGGGTGCAGGTGGCCCTGTTCTGCTTGGCCATGTGGTAATGGCATTCCAGCTGTGCAGATGAAGTCACAGTTCTGACGATGCAGGTTCTAGTCAATGCAGGGCCGTGCCAAGCGAGGGCTGCCTGTAACTGTCATCAACCAGGAGCGGCCAATGTTTCCCTTGTGCTCAGGAACGAGGCTGACTCAGAGCCGATCAGAGGGTGAACTCACCTTTCCATAGGATCCTTGTCCTAAAACTTTCAACAGTTCAAACTGGGAAGGGTCTGCCTTTTCGAAGCCTTCTTTGACATGATGACTGATGTCGATCTCCTTCACGATGCCTTCCTCCTACAAGAGAGCAGAAACACGTGACAACAACACAAAGCCAGAGGCTTCTGTGAATCCATCACAACTTCTCTTTCGCTGATGTTATGACGAGTTGGGCATGCTATGCACGTTACCACTGGAGTTTGAACACTGTGACACCATATACCTTTACATAACCACCTTGGTTATGTGTGCCAATTATTGTCTGCCTGCCACATGAGCCTTTAATTTGTCATTTGGTCATACCAGGACCGTAGGGAAATCTGAAGATACTCTCCATAAAATCCATTCTGCTTCTCAACAGTTTGGGCAAAGGTTCTGGCACAGATGAATACAGCAGCTACGGAACAAAAGCGATCCCCAAGACCACCTTTGCTGTCATGTCTGCACTGCTGTGCTCATAAGGCACGGAGGGGCCACATGGGGACACAGTCTGAGCAGCACAGGCTCTCCTTTGCCTTCTTCCTCTTATCCACACCACCTCCCACATTTTTGCCACAGCTAATGCAAAGGACTCACCACGGCCATCCCAGATTATAGTTCAGAAGAAGATGGCATTTTCTGCCAGCCCATAAGCAAGATTTTCCTGTACAAAAAATAGCCCCTCATCTTTAAGCTAAACCATTGACATAAATCACTACAAACTTCCATCACAGAGCTTCCTGTTCCTAAAGACAAATTTCCTCACTTGTAAAGGGGCAGTCTATCTGCCCAAATGCCAGCAATTGGAAATGAAACAACTTAAAAGTAGGCGTTTTTCCTGCCACAAGAGCCTCGCTGTTCCTTGAATGTATCACTGCACTTCTCTGCGATTCCCCTTCCGACCCACCCACACGTCCAGACGTCAATCCTTTTCTATGGTTCGGCATCGGGTGAGGTGCTGGAAAGCATCAGACAGGGCTGGCTAAAAAGATCCTCTAAAAATAGCTACCAGGAGTCACATGCACAGTGTGCTCTGGGCACTGGGGCTTTTCATACATCATGTCTTCTATTCCTTAAAAACTCTGTGAGGTAGAGATTTTCTCCTAGACTCAGGTTGCGCAGCTGGAAGTGGGAGCCAGGTGCCCAGTGGATGACTGGCCTTAAAGTCCCACACATCCTCTCACTGTGTTGGTCTAAGAGCAAACGCTTTCAAACGAGATCACAACAGCAACAGTTTACATTGTGATGTTTGAAAAACCCAGTTTCTCTAAACAGTGACTTACAAGATACACTGATTCACCTCCACGTAACAAGTATGGACACCTGCAAAGCAGAGAAGGCTGTGTGAGCGGTGAAAGCTCACTGGGCAGATCGCTGGCACGGGCAATCGTCTCCGGCTTTTCTATTCCAACAGTTAAAGGAAACACTTCGATTTCCACATCTTCAAGGATTATTTGCCATTTTTGTAAAAACAATGGTTTTATTACTATTATTATTAGGGGTCTCACTCACAAATGCCTGATAACAAGAACTATCACAGAGGACTCTGCAAACCCACCCCCTTGCACAGAGGCCATCGCAAGAAATACACAGAAATACTTCTGTAAGGACGTCTGCCCAGCCACTGTCTGTCCAGCCTTGGACCAGAGTCACCTTGTTATTGATCCTTGTAGCCAAGGAAACAGTCATCATCTTTCCTTTAAAACCCTCTGTCTGCGTTCACCTCCCTGAAGATGCACACAGTATGCACCACAGCATGCCTGTTCCCTTGGCAACGCTCTATTCCAGATTACACTCGTTATTCTTTTAGAGAGCCTCCCTCTGTTATTGGTTGACACTTCCTAAGAGCACCCAAATCAGCACCCCGGTGGCCTGCTCCCCCACCCTTGGCAGCCGCCTTCCATTTCAGGGGTTCACCTCCTTGAGTCACCACCTTAACATTTCAAATCAAAGGCTGAGACAACAATTTCACGACATTTCAAGTTTTGTGCAGATTCTTCCTGTCAAAGTATTCAGAGCAAATGTACACAAGGCACATACATCATTTCATGTCCCAGAATGTCATTACAACTCCAGTTTTCTTCCCAATAATACTGCAGTACAGTTAATTCCTCATTTAAAAACAATAAGGTCTTAACAGCAAAGAATTGTAATTTTGTAAGTCTGCATTCATAGTGACATTCTGGCTTGAACTTGCCTGAGGATGCTTAACTTTGTCATTCTGTTTTTCAAGAACTAAATGAAAAAACAAAATACCAAAGGGCCTGGAGCTCAGTAAAACTCAGCGCTGACTCCAGAGACCCTGGGACAGATGGCAGTGGGAGGGAGGCATGCCCCTGCCAGGCCGCTCAACACTGCTACTGGACAATCCGATTTTCTGGGTCATTTTGTGATTATTGCCCTAAGGGGCAACTAGAATAAAAATATTATTTGTGTCTCATTTTGAAATAAATTGTCTTTTCCTTTTCTCTTTTATGAGGCAGGTCCCTTTATCCAGAATCCTATGTGGATATTAATGCCATTCCCTGAGGAAAATAAAGTTGTTTCCTAAATCAGCTGCATACCTGCCACTAAACATCTGGTTTCTAGCATTGCACCTGTGAATGGTATTTTTTAAAATAACTTGAGAGACTTGGGGGCAGCAGGTACCATGATCAGGTGCTAGCCCCACAAACAAAAGTTCCAAAAATTTTATAATGTGAGAGATAAAAACTAGAGATCTATAAATTGTCTAAATGACAATAATACTATGTATGATAAAATAACTTGTGGCAATGAATTTTTTAAATCTGTGCTGAACTGCGTTTGAAATTCCGACCAACTGTAGAAATCGATTTGCAGCTTTTATCAGAGGCGGGAGACATAGAAAGATGGGATGAAAACGGCACGAGGAAGACCCGCCACCACACTACGCCTCCCCTTTCTCTGGCCAAAGTCACCTGCTCAGGTAACTGCCTCTGTCCCGAATCATCTGCTTTTCGTGTCACTAAAAGTATAATATTCATGAAAAGTAAATGCAAATGAACAGCTGTAAATTATTAATAATAAGGACATAGGAAATAAAAATTAGTCAAGTGTTAGCTTTATTTCCAGAAAAGGAGGGAGTTCATTCCATAAATCAATGGTTCGCATAAGAAAGCCACTGCCAGAAGAATGACAGAATAAACTATTAAGCAGGTGGTTTATGAAAAATGTAGAAAAGAACAGGGAAATCATTTGCACTCTGACTCGCAGGACTCACTGAGCTAACTTGGTTCGACTTCCGATATTGTTCACAGCTTAGTAGAGGCAGCCAGGGCAGGCCAGGAGACCCTGGCTTTGACGACAGTTCAGACAGTCTTTGCTGAAGCTCAGGTAAGCGAGAGGCTGACACCACACAAAAGGTTTGATGACAGACCACCAGGAGCACAAAAACGTGGCACGCCTACCTAGAACAACATCTTGTTCCAGAGGTTCTTAAACTGTCCCAAGTGCCGCCTGTGTCAGAATAATCCTGGGAATTTGTTAAAAAGGCAGATTCTGGGTCCTGGGCGAGGCCTCCTGGGTCTGGAATCTCTGACCATGATCCTGGCTGAGAATGCAGCTTCATGTACAATCCGGCTTTCTGTGTCTCACCTAAACTGCTCTTGCCAAGCCATCAGAATCTTCCACACTGCTAAATCCAGCACCAGGTTTCAGTCCTGCACAGTACTGGGCGTGATGGGTCAGCCCATCTCCCCGAAACATGCTCCTCACTGGACTCCGGACATCATACTCCCCGGGTCCCCTCCTGCCTGCCCATCCTCTGCTCCTTCCTGGGATCTTTCCTTATCTCCCTGTCTGCCAGTGTCCCTTACCCAGGCTCAATCCCTGGCTTCTTGCTCCATGTAACCACCCCCTTGGGACCCCTCCTGCCTCAGGGCTACATTATCATCTTAACACTGACAACTCTTGAATCTCAGTCTCCAGCAGAGATCTCTCCCAGAAATCTAGTGCTGGAAGATCATCTCAGACAATTGTCCTGTGTACGTGTGCACATGTGAGCATGTGTGTACATGCATGCCTATGTGTTGTGTGCACGTGTGTGTGCATGTGCGTGTGTCTGTTGAATGCATAGGAGTGTGTGTGAGTGACAGGTTTTGCTCTTATGGTGGGACACAGCTCCTTGAGGTCTCAGCTGTAGAGAGGAGTCTGTGGGAGGAAACACCCCTCAGAGCCCACACTCCACCTGTGCACTGACTGCATTGCTGCCGGGTCTTGGGTCCCTGTTACCAGCCATGCTTACACACCAATGAGTATAGGCCACTCACTACAAAAATCCTCAAGTAGCCTTCTTTCCGACACACTGGGGATCTTATTCAAGGGAACCCAGGAGGCCGAGCCATAACCGGAATTCAGATCACCTGACACTAGGACCCATGGCCCAGGCCACGCTGCTTCCATTGTGACCAGAGCCTTGGAGGTTTTTGTGAGGTGGTGGCCAATGAGGCCAGTGTCTGTTCTGCCCCTTAAACTGCCCTCTGTGTCTCAGCAAATGCATCTGCTTTGATTGCTGTGAGTGAATGTGACGTGAAATTATAGGACCAGCTGTGTGTGTCTGATCAATTTCTTAGGAAACCATTTCCACAAAAAGTTTCCTTCCATTTCTAAAGAATCTAAATAGGATCCGAGCCATTCGGTACAGCAGCTCCACAACCCATGGACACCAGGCTGGCTGTACAGTGCTTGCTGGAATCTGAGTAAAACAAAGATGGCTTTAGTGAAGAAGAATCAATCCGTCACAAAATCGTAGGAGGAAAGGGTGCAGGAGGGAGAAGATGGAAGGAGGAAGAAAAGTGCTGGAAGAAATGTCAGGATGAGAGACGGAAGCTCTGAGATCTCAGAAGTGTGGACAGAAAAAGCCCTGCTCAGCTACTCGAGATCTGTTTTCCAGCCCTGGCAATTTTCAGTGCTTGAACTAAAGATGATACATTTGACATGATGCCCTGGAGGGGGTTGGACCGTGCAGGGATGTGGCCCAGCTCCCTTCCTCGCCCATCCTGGGATGTTGCTGGGCCTCAGTGCACGAGAGTGGTGCCGGCAGTGACCCCACACGAGGACAGCGTGTGCGGAAGGGCTGTAGCCGAGGGCTCGCTGTCGCCTTCGGGAAGAAGTCCCGCTTACCCGTTCCCTACAGCCTCTGGGAAGTCAACCTGGGCTGAACCTAAGATCCTTATGACCCAGCCACACACATGAAGCGAGAGAGGAAGAGGAGGTGAAGTTAATGAAAACAAGCCCTGGCGTGTGCCTTCTCTCTCTTCTCTTTCTATCCAACCTCAGATTCTGCCTCTACCTTCCCCCCCACCCCTATTAATTCTGGTTAATAAGACAAGATGAAACCCCCCCACCACTGTTTCTGTCTTTCTTGACCCCCACTCCCTGGTGTTCCCCTCAAATTATTTTCCCTTCCATTATTTCAAGAGCCTTTGATCTCCTGGTATTTTTATAAATCGCAGTCTATGCAAATTGGACTCCAAGCTGTGATTATAAAGGGTAGCAGGCAGATGGAGCATGGTTTCTGCAGGGGCCTCCTTCCCACAGAAAAGACGTGCAAAGGGTGGAGAGCTGGGGCTCCCTGCAAACACCCA